AAAACAATGTAATAATAGTATAGTATAGTGCACTGCAGTGCAGTGCAATGCAATACAATACAGTTCATGCAACAGCAGGGTAAAGTGTAGAGTTCCCAAAAATGTACGCACTGCTGAGTTTTGGATCTACAAATTCTGCGTGTTCCTTAAGGGGCCCCTTTGATATCATATTACAATAACATACCTGGGATGTGACTAAGATATGAGTGGCAGTAAGCAAGTCCTCCTCCTCAACCAAAAAAAAATTCCACCCCCTTTTTGTGATCCCACTCACTAACAAAGGACTTATAAATACTGTGTAGCACAACCAGTTGCAAAAGTTTAAAGTAACAGCAGTATTCTGCCCCGTGAAGCTACTGCTAAGACATTTTGTTCATCTCACGCTGTCAGTGCAATAAAAATCAGGGAAGGGAGCTCAAGAGATCAGCCAGATAGTAATTGGTCTTTAAAGTGCTGAGAACAGACTTGCTATCTGTTTTTCTCTTAGTTATTAAAGTCAGACGTAACTGGTTCTCTACCTTGGCAACTTTAGGATAGTGTGGATTTCAACTCCCACAATTCCCCAGCCAGCATGGCTTTTTTGAGGAATTCTGGGAGGTGAAGTCCACCATATCTTAAAGTTGCCAAGGCAGAGAAACACTGCCTTAAGGTACTGCAAGGAGGGTTTTGGAGGGGCTCTGAATCATTGTTCAGACACAGGCATAGAATCATGGAAGGCTGGAAGGGACCTCAGAAGTCATAGCTTATATCATCCCATTGAAATGGTTCTCTAATCTACTTTTGAAAACCTCCAGTGATGGAGCAACCACAACCCCAGGAACTAGGCTATGTTTAGATAGACATCTAAAGCAGTGGTGTGTCATGCCCCTGGTGGAGACTGAGTCTGAGGGAGAGGAGGAACAGCTGACAGGGAGTGGAAATGTGGCTGTGGAGGTTGTGGAGGAGGCTGGGGAAGGGCAGAGGTCAGCTGAGCAGTCAGAGGAGGACCCAGGCCCATCCCCTCTCCATCCTAGGGCACGCAGGGAGGACAGGATAAGGGAGAGACATGATCTACTTGGGAGGAGAGGGCCTTGATCCTCTTCATGGGCTGCAGCTGTGACAACTGAATAAGAGGTCGGACATGTGTACGGGTGAACGCTGGAAACAAAGCGTGGAAATATCTCTGGTTTATGATTCCTCTCTGAATTTGGCATCCTTCCCAGTGCGTGTTATTTGTGGACGTCCTCCAGCCCTTATCTTGCCTAGTTTGTGTTGCTTTTTTCCTTCTTCTTGTAACTGTGTGGGAGTTTTTTGTCTTCCGTCAAGAATATTCGGAGCTTGTAAAAATAAGAATGCTTTTAATTTTTCTTTTTTTTCTAATTTTTTCTTCCTTTTCTTTTCTTTTCTTTCTTTCTTCTTTTCTTTTCTTTCGTTCATTTGTGTATGTATTGTTGGTTGGTTTTAATTGTAAAAACTAATAAATTATATTTAAAAAAAAAAAAGAATATTCGGAGCTTGGAAGCAAAGTGAAGGAATAAAAGGGGCTTCATGTGTTTTCTGTGACTGTGTTTGTTTTGTATCCCACCCTGGGTCATCACATGGTGGCATTCTACCATTTTGGCCCAGTTTGGCCTGGTTCAGCTGAACCAGTAGCTCTGAGGATCATCTGTGAGCGAACTGGTTCACTCCGATGATCAGCTGCTGGGCCCGCCCGCCCTGGCTCTATTCTTACTTTTATTTCCTGCTTTTCAACCAGCTGCTTCGCACGGCACAGCCAATTGCCGTGCATCAGATGTTTTTAAACACAGAGCTTGCAGCAAAAGGTGAGTGGCAAACGCTGCTCATGCACACACAAAGTGCACGCTCACACTGAACTTGTAGGAAATTTTTTTGAAACCCACCACTGATCTAAAGATATTTATTTTTTTAGATGTTTTTAGAGATCTCAACACATTCTCCTGCATTTGTAGTTACATGGCTACCTTGAAGTAAACCCTGGATATTGATACCAATCGGGTTGTTCCTTGGCTGTTATTTATTTATTTGATTTATAGACCAGCATTTTACTTCAGTGAATACTCAAGATTAGGGCTGCCAAACTCCTGGCCTGCAGGCTGAATGCGTCACACACTGGCCACGCCCATGCCTGATTTAGTGAAGGGGAAAAAAATCCAAATATGTCACATGACGATGCTGTGATGCTGTGAATTTGGCACCCCTGCTCAAGACGGTTAAACTGCAAAAGGAGGTCAGTGAATAGGAGCCAAGATGAAAACAAAGTAGAACAGAGAAACAAACTGCATACAGCTAATTAAAGTTTTTGCGGGTACTTACATGTATGGTATTCAGCTTTGTTCGGGTATTTTCCCACGTCATTATAGTTGTGCTTTTAAAGTTGTAGCAACGTTTTGGCAGAATCTCATCTGCCATCATCAGGCTTCTGTATTGAGTTCGTCTGTGAGTCAGGCTTTTACAGTTGTTTCAGTTTTAAATTTGGGGCTAGCCTACTGCTGTGCCAGAATGGTTTTTTCTTCATCCTGATTGGTCTGGATGTCTGTTCTTCATCTTGGTCTGTGTTTATTGGTCTTGGAGTTTGCTGTGTTCTGCTTGATTGGTGTTTCTAATATCTTCTGTCTGTTTTGTGGCTTTTTTTTTTGTCTTGATTGGCTGGCAACATTGTGTTCCTGTATTGGAGGCTTTTAGTGAAGCCTGGCTCCAACTAAATGGACGGCTATCATTTATTAGGAAGCTAGGTTTCATCTGGGTGCCTGGTTGGGGTGTGTTTGAGCTGGACATATCAGGGGGGATCTGTTTGTGCCCAGGTGTTTGCCTGGCTTGTGGTGTAGAGATTTGTTTGTTTGTGAGTGCAGGCTTCCAAATAATTGACAGTCTGGTAGAATCATCTCTTCTATTCATGCTTTCAGGTCTTTTTTCAATCTCTATGGCTTCTCTGATAATTCTGTGGATGGGGTTTTCTATAGTGGCTAGGGTTTTGGTGCCATTGAAGTTGATGCTATGACCTGTGGCTTTCATGTGTTGGACTAGTGAGGAAGTGTGTTCCAGCTTTTTTACTGCATTTTTGTGTTCATCCAGGCGGGTACTGGAAAAGCAGCCAAGGTTATGTGGTGTTTTAGTACAGAAAAATAGCCAGAGGCAGGAAAATTAAGTGTTCCCTCCCATCTTTCGCTTATTCTTTCATTTAAATTGGTAGCTTCTCATGATACTTAAAACAAATGAAAGAAAAGATAGGTATAACAGCATATCATGTACCCTCAAAGGACTGGAGAAAGAATTTGTTCAATTCCCATTTTAATGCAAATTCATTCTCTCAAACTAAAGCTCGAACAAAATCACAATCTCCATCTCTTCAGAATTTTGCAATGGAAAATAGACACCAAAATGTGCACATTAATAAAAACATTAAAATGCAAGAATTGGGAAAACTGCATCTATCTGTCTGTCTGTCTGTCTATCTATCCACATATACATACATACATACATACATACATACATACATACATACATACATA